TCTATGCTCCACCCAGACAAAAGTTCGCTGTTCCTTAAACAGGCTTCTCACCAGCTCAGCTTTGCTCACAGATCCACCTCCCAAACCACCTTCTCCCCACCATCTCCCTTGATTTCTCCTACACCCAGAGGTGAGTGCTCCCTCCTGTGAGTGTACCAAGCTCCTAACTCGAGTCTCTCTCTGTACTTACCACATTCTGCCTTATATTGAAGGCATTCGGGCGCCTTTCCTACCTCTACCCCCGAAACATCCTTGTTGGCACAAATTGCTGTATTGTTTCCATATCCCTCACACTAGCCAACACAGGACTCAGTAAATATTAGCTAAGTGAAAAAATAAATGCCCAGGTTTCTAAGTTCAAAGTGTTCCTCTTTTAAGACTCTATACCAGAGTTTGATAGTGTTATTGACATTTGGAGTTGAATTTTTTTTTTCTTTTCTGGCTAGAAGGTGTATGTGCCACCGAGAGAAAAAGAGAGCTAAAGAGAAAGAGGAGAACGCACTCCCCCACAGAGAATGGGCACACTACAGTCTCTTCTCTGTCTCTCCCTCCTTTGGGGATTGTGGACACGCACATGCACCTGGCATGTTTCTCAGTCTACCAGGTCTAGCACTCAAACCTCAGGGTCGGCCATGTGGGATCTGCCTTAACCACCAGGCCATGCAACCAGCCCACATATGTCCTGTGAGAGGTTGTGCCAACAGCAGCCTTGCCCTTCCCTAACCCAAGCCCCAGTTATGAAAGCCAAAAATGTCCCCAGACATTGCCAAATGTCCCCTGGGGATGAAAACCACCCCTGGTTGAGAATACTGCTCTATACCAAGAGTTCTGAAACCTTGCCACGCATTTACACTCACCAGGACATTTCGTTTCAGCCTTGCAGTCAGGGGGACCTAGATCCAAATTCTGCCTCTGCCACGCACTCTGCAACCCTAAACATTTCACTTCACGTTGTTTTGTTTTTAATAACAAATTTCTTAAAAGACAAAATCTTTTTTTTATTTTAATTTTATTCATTTATTTACTTATTTTAATTTGACCAGAGAGGGACAGAGCGAGAGCTAGAGCGAGAGAAAGAGAAAATGAGAAAGCAAGCCACCAGGCCCAGGCCTTGAGCCGTGGTCGGCCATGTGGGAGTCCAACACCTTAACCACCATGCCACCTGCCAGCCCCTCACTTCACGTTTTTTAACCTCAGTTTTGTCATCTAAAAATGAATGAAATTGTCAGCTTGTCACACAGACTTGTGAAGATTTTTATAATGTACACTTAGAAAGGATTCAGTAAATGAACTAAACGAAATGTTTAAAGTAGCTCGCAGAGCACAAGGGCAGTACATTGGGGAAAGCGCAGTCTGCCACCAAGTGGCGCTGCCACAAACTGCATGGGACAGGCAGTGGCAGGTCAGGCTTCCGTTCCCAGCCAAGCATAGTTT